AAGCAGTCCTTCTGCCTCAGCCTCCTGAGTAGCTGGGACTAAAGACATATGCCACCATGCCCCTCTAACTTTTTCTATATATTTTTAGTTGGCCAATTAATTTGTTTCTATTTTTAGTAGAGACAAGGTCTCGCTCTTGCTCAGGCTGATTTCGAACTCCTGATCTTGAGCTATCCGCCCGCCTCAGCCTCCCAGAGTGTTAGGATTACAGGCGTGAGCCACTGCACCCGGCCCTTGACCATGAATTTTGAGGGGACACAATTCAGTCCATAGCAAGTATGTATGAACTCATGGTTTTTAATATATAGATAAATAGATGTAGAAATAATATAGCTATAAATGTATGTGTATGTTTGTGCATGTGAACATATATGCATGTGTATGTATGTGTACAAGCACATGCACACACATACATCCCCCACTTCTGTCCGTGGAGAGGGCCTAGGAACAATGATAGTCCAGTGGGAATATGCACACTTAGTACCCAGACACTGACTTCTCAATACCATTCTCCACAAAAAGGAACTATGGCTCCTTGGAGGAATGGTTGATTCTAGAACTAGGTTGAAAAAATTCCAGATGAGCCTGCAACATCTTGTTGTGCCAGAAAATAAGGAGGCACTCAAAGAATAGAGGAGACATGTCAAAGGACCACGAATCAGTTTAAAAATGCTCCCAGTGGCCAAATGTGGAGCAATTAAGCATCAAAATGAAATATAACAGTAACAAATTATAATGTGATAAAATAAGAATACATAAGTCCATAGTAAGATAACTAAATAAATAAATCAACATTGGAGAGAAGAAAGCCCTTCTTTTTTTTGAGACAGAGTCTCACTTTGTTGCCCAGGCTAGAGTGAGTGCCGTGGCGTCAGCCTAGCTCACAGCAACCTCAATCTCCGGGGCTCAGCGATCCTACTGCCTCAGCCTCCCGAGTAACTGGGACTACAGGCATGCGCCACCATGCCTGGCTAATTTTTTTTTGTATATATATTTTTAGTTGGTCAATTAATTTATTTCTATTTTTGGTAGAGACGGGGGGTCTCGCTCAGGCTGGTTTCGAACTCCTGACCTTGAGCAATCCGCCTGCCTCGGCCTCCCAAAGTGCTAGGATTACAGGCATGAGCCACCACACCCGACCTGAAAGCCCTTCTTTATAGTAGAATGCCAATATAATAAATGTAGAAGGAATGATACAGTTAGAAAATCATCAATGGCTACTAAAACTAGTGGGTGGAAGTTTATTGATGAAAAGAATATTTATACAGTCTAAAAAGTGTCTCCTCACAAATTATGTATTGATTCTAAAGAAAAAAGTGGTGACTACAGTGAGGAGACCTAGCAGACCCCAACTTAATCAAAGGATCAAAGTTAACATCAGCAGTGCTGTGACAAATTGTTGTAATATGCCTCCTGATGTGAGGCACTTGGAAAGACATGACATTACTTCTGTGATATTCCTGCCAAAACTATGTAACCTGAATCTAATCAGAAGGAAACATCAGACATCCAAACTGAAGGATATTCTACAAAAGAATTGGCCTGTTTTCCTAAAAAATGTCACAGTCAGGCCAGGTGTGGTGGCTCAGGCCTGTGATCCTAATACTTTGGGAGGCCAAGGCAGGAGGATTGCTTGAGCCTAGAAGTTTGAGACCAGTCTGGGCAATATAGCAAGACCTCATCTCTACAAAAAAAAAAAAAAAAAATCCAGAAAAATTAGCCAGACCTAGTGGCATGTGCCTGTAGTCCCAGGTATTCAGGAGGCTGAGGCAGGAGGATCGCTTGAGCCCAGGAGTTTGAGGTTGCAATAAGCTATGATGATACCACTGTACTCTAGCTGGGGCAACAGAGTGAGACCCTGTCTCAAAAATAAATAAAATAAAATAAAATAATAGATTCTCTGAGAAAGGGAGAGAGAAAGAATATCATAGTAACAGGCATATGGGAATTCCTTGTATTATTCTTGCAACTTTTTAATAAACTTGAAATCATATCAAAATAAAAATTACTAAAAATAATTGAGATTCACACCAGAATGTGCAGAAGACCTAGGTTCCAGCTGTAGCTAAAACATAGAGTTTTTATACAAGAAGAATAAAGTGAATTAAGCCTGTTAAAAAAACAACAACAACAACAAATGTTACAAGGATGTGGAGTAAAGGGAACCCTTGTACACTGTTGGTGGGAATGCTACTTGGTACAGCCATTATAAGGAAACAGCATGGAGGTTCCTCAAAAAATTAAAAATAGAACTGTCATATTCAGCAATACCACTTCTGGGTATATATCTAAAAAAAGAAAAAATTAGTATCTTGAAGAGATATCTGCACTCCCAAGTTCATTTAAGCATTATTTACAGTAGGTAAGACAGGGAAACAACCTAACTGTGCATTGAGGGATGAATGGATAAAGGAATTATGGTATATATGCACAATGGAATATCAGAAATCATGCCATTTGTAACAGTGTGGATGAACTTGGAGAACATTATGCTAAATGAAATAAGCCAGACACAGAAAGACAAATATTGCATGATATCACTTATATGTGGAATCTAAAATAGTTGAACTTAAAGAAACGGAGAGTAGAATGGTGGTTGCCAGCAGCTAAGAGGTATTGGAAACAAGATGTTGGTTAAAAGTTATAAACTTTCAGTTTTAAGAAGAATAAGTTCTAGAGAGCTAATGTTCCACATGGCAACTATAGTTAATAATAATGTATACTTGAAATTTACTAAGGAAGTAGATATTAAATGTTAGCACCACACAAAAAGGTAACTATGTCAGGTGATGGGTTAATTAGCTTGATTATGGCAATCATTACACAAAGGTATATTGACAAGGTATCAAAACACCTTAAATATTCTCCAGAGTAGAGAGATAAATAGAAAAAAACCCCACAAAACACCTTAAATATATATGATGTTTTATTTGTCAATCATACCTCAATAAGGCTGGAGAAAATAAATAAATAATATGTAAATCGCCACATATATAACACATATATCGTTAGGACACTTTTGATTGCAAGTAACAGAAAACTCAATATCATCACTCAAGATTCTGGCAGGGGCCAAGCATGGTGGCCCATGCCTGTAATCCTAGCACTCTGGGATGCCGAGGTGTGACGATTGCTTGAGGTCAGGAGTTTGAGACCAGCCTGAGCAAGAGTAAGACACCCGTCTCTACTAAAAATAGAAAGAAATTAGCTGGGCAAGTAAAAAAAAAAAATAGAAAAAATTAGCTGGGTGTAGTGGTGCATGCTTGTAGTCCCAGCTACTTGGGAGGCTGAGGCAGGAGGATAGCTTGAGCCCAGAAGTTTGAGGTTGCTGTGAGTTAGGTTGAGGTCACAGCACTCTAGCCCAAGACTAGAACAAGAGCAAGCTCTGTCTCAAAAAAAAAAGATTTTGGCAGGAAATATTTTCTAACTCATTCCCTCCTTCCCATCTCTTGTGGGTGTATTTTCTTGGCCAAACCCAGCTGAAAGCCGGAGGAAGGGTACCCCCTGATATAGTTGAAACAGGTCAGCCTCCAGGGCAAGAGCAAAGTGGAAAATAGTTGGAAGTGGATCAGAAGATATCACACCAACCAAACTGGCTTGAACAAGGAGAAGCTTATTTTTTCACATATCAAGAAGTCCAGAAGCAGGGGGTTTCTGGAATAGTTTATTGAGCAGGGCATTGGTGTCATGCATTGTTCTGCTCTGCCATCCTCAGCACATCAACATATCTGTCCGCATGGACCCAACATGGCTACAGCAGTTCTGTGAGTAAAATTCAACCAGGACTGTATTTATTCCCATGCATCAGTTGTTTCTTTGAATAGATTATTTTAAGAGAAGTTTTAAATTCACAACAAAGTTGAACATAAAGTGCGGAGAGTTCCCATATGCCCCAGACAGCCTCCCCACTGTCAACATCCCACCACACCGTACATCTGTTACAGTCAATGAGCCTACACTGGCACATCGTAATCACCCAAATCCATAGTTCACATTAGAGCTCACTCTTTTTTTTTTTTTTTTTTTTTTTGAGAGAGTCTCACTCTGTTGCCCAGGCTAGAGTGACAGCCTAGCTCACAGCAACCTCAAACTCCTGGGCTCAAGCGGTCCGGCTGCCTCAGCCTCCCGAGTAGCTGGGGCTACAAGCATGCGCCACTATGCCCGACTAATTTTTTCTATATATATTAATTGGCCAATTAATTTCTTTCTATTTATAGTAGAGACGAGGTCTTGCTCTTGCTCAGGCTGGTTTTGAACTCCTGACCTTGAGCAATCCGCCCGCCTCGGCCTCCCAGAGTGCTAGGATTACAGGCGTGAGCCACCGTGCCCGGCCTAGAGTTCACTCTTAATATCCTATGTTCTATGAGTTACGACAAATGTTTAATGACATATATCTGCCATCGTATTATACACAATACTTTCACTATCCTAAAAAATCCTCGGCTAATCATACCCCTCTCCCCTCAAACCCTGGCAACCGCTAATATTTTTGCTGTCTCCATAGTTTTGCTTTTTCCAAAATTTTATATAGTTGAAATCATGTAGTAAGTAGACTTTTCAGATTGGCTACTTTCACTTAGTAATATGTATTTAAGCTTTCTCCATGTCTTGTCATTGCTTGATAACTTATTTCTTTTTAGCACTAAATAATATTCCATTGCATGAGTGTACTGCAGTTTATCCACTCACCTACTGAAGGAGATCTTGGTTGCTTCTAAGTTTTGGCAATTATTAATAAAGCTGCTATAATCAGTATTATGCAGGTTTTGATGTAGACATAAGTTTTCAGCTCATTTTGGTAAATACCAAGGAGCACAATTGCTGGATTATTGTGTAGTAAGAGTATGGTTAGTTTTGTTTTGTTTTGTTTTGTTTTGAAACAAGGTCTTACTCTGTCACCTAGGCTGGAGTATAGCATAGCTTACTGCAACCTCAAACTCTTGGGCTCAAGTGATCCTCCTGCCTCAGCCTCCCAAAATGCTGGGATTACAGGTGTGAGCCACTGCATCCGGCCACTGTGGCCTCTTTTATAAGGGTATTTATCCCATTCATGAGGGTTCTGCAATTATGACCTAATTGCCTCCCCAAAGGCTCCACCTCCTAATACCATCACCTTGGGGTTAAGATTTCAACATAAGAATGGGGGGGGGGTGACACAAACATTCAAACCACAGTGTAGCTGGCTCTATAACAAATTTCAGTGACCCTTGTATGTTTTTTATAATCTTCTCCCTCTCATGTTTTAGATTTTTCAGGCCAGTAGGGCTTGATGACCTGAGTTGTTTTCCAGAATGATGGAATTTCTGGAAGACAAAGAAGTAGCAATTCTGAAGGCCCCTGGGCAGACTTCTGATGCCAGGACTCACCATCCCTGACAACCTGCCCCTAATGCACACTTAGCCCCTTGTTAGTTACACCATGACCTGCCCCAATGCCTGTGGCCCCTCCTTTAAAAGCCCATGATCTCCGTTATTTGGAGAGACAGATTTGAGACCTGATTCCCCATTTTCCTGACTTTGTTCGTAATAAAAAATTCCTTTCTTCCTTGGCAATCCTCATTGTCTCAGTAACTGGATCTTTGTGCGGTGAATAATGACCTAGGCTGAAACCCCCTCGCAGTTTCAATAACAACAACACTAACCTTTATCTTTCTCTTTCTCCCCATTTTAATTTCATACGTAAGTTGTTGGAAGCTAATGTTACAATCTAATCTTTAGGTAATAGAACAACAGAGACTATGGCATAATTTGGTAAGTATTTAATATAGACAGTGGTATAATGATAGTTGGCATCTATGTATTTCCTCATTTTGGCGAGAGGGTGAGAACTTCTCCACTTGTACGAAAGATAGCTGCACTATTTTAGGTGGAAATGTGGAGTTGTTTCATTGTTGTATGGAAGTGCAAATGCATACAGAAGAGTGTATATGGAAGCCGAGGCTCCAAAGGGATCCACTGTGCCCCTTATCAATTTATCAGCTCTCAGTAACAAATCCACCCTTCTTTGTGCTTTATGATAGTGGAGAGGAGCCTATTTTTTCTTTTCCAGCTGACAGTGCTCAGCTTTGTCAGTAGAGGGCGCTGGCAGGATGCTGTAGGAGGCAGGGGTTTCTCTACTTGGTTCTGGTGTGGTTCCTCCAGGGCCTGGCTCCTGGAGCACCTGTGGCTTCTCCAGACTCCGGCAGTGTGGGCTTCTGTAGTGTGGGCAGCTGCTTCAGTGCCTGGGCCCCCGACAGTGCGTGGCAGTCAGCAACACGCGATGGCTAGCCACTTCTCTTGGCACCCCCTTGGTGGCTTTGCAACACAATTTGAGGTAAAGTACAACTTCCCTCAGCACCCAAAATGTCAGACTTCCAGCAAGTTCCACCAGTGCAGCACCATATCCTATCCAGTGAGGTCTAGAGCTCAGCCCTGCTGGGAGGGAGAAGGGAGGGCTTCCTTGCGTGTCTGTCTCTACCCCAGTTGATAGTGGCTGCTCCTTCCACCTTGTATTCCTTATTCTCTAGCATTCTCTTTCTCTTATTAGCCAACTCCTCAGCACTCCATCCCCTGCTACAGTAAATATATCTTTACATTAAACTTTTCCTGTCCAAATTACAGTGTGGCTTCTGTCTCCTGATTGGACTCTGACTGATATAGTGAAGAATGGCAAGATGGTTGGATGATGAAGAAGCATGAAGAACCTCAAATGAGGGCAGGTTTCATCTTGCAATCCAGAGATGCATTGGGAATCAGTGACCTGGGTGTCAAAGCTCTTTTAGAAGACAATATTGATAATAAAGGAGCAAATATTGAGCTCTAAGCACTTTATGTCTCATTTAATCCTTCCAACAACCCAATGAAGTAGTACCATTGCTGTTAATCTTATTATACTGATGAAAGAGCTGAGATTAAAAGATGAGATTAAGAGACTTAATCTCAGATAGCTGATAAGTGATGTGTTCCAGTTACAACTACTGCATCACAAACCATCCCAAAAGTTGGTGGCATAAAACAACCATTTTATTATGCTCATGGATTCTGTGGTCACGATGTTTTAAATGTACTCAGGATTTTGGTTTTATCCAGGAATGATGAGGCCAATAGCTCAGAAGATGACTGCTATTGAATATATAGTTTGTTACTTACAGTTCTCAAGAGGAGTGGGCACACTATGCCATGTAGGGCCACACGTGAAAGCACCAGGTCAGCCAGACAGCAGAAGAAAGGAAAAGCATGGACACAAGCCTTTATTGTGTTTTGGGGGGGAGCAATGGGTGTGGCAGGTTCAGGACTGGCTAGTTTGAATAATTCTGGTGGGCTCTGGGGCATAGGGACTGTCTCTAATTATCCAATACTGGGACCTCGGATGACTAGAGCAAAGGAATATTGTCTCCTAGAGTGCCAGAGCCAGATGGTTCAGCATGTGGATTCAGGATTGATTGGTTTGCATGTCAAAGGCATGCTTCTAGAGATAGTTGTTTGCTATCTCTAGGAATTAGTTATCTAATTCCTAATTAACCAGGGCAGTCTCTCCCTTGGTTTGCAAGGCCTCAAGCTGTCAAAGCATCGTAAAATACAGAAAATAAAAAACATGATTAACACGCAGGAATTTAGACATAGCACAGCGGGAGCAGCTTGTTTCTGCTCCACAATGTCAGGACTTCAGCTGGAAAGTCTTAGAACACTGAGGTTGGCTCGACAGCTGCCCTTTCTGTCCATACTGAAAGTCATTGTACTGGCGCTTGGAGAACCAACCAAGTAGCACTATTCTTGTTCTCTGAACAGCCTAGGCCCTGCCTTTGCTCTCACAGTTCCTCTGTCTAGACCTGTCGAGGCTGGGATTTTACCCCACTTACAAGCTAATATGCTGGCCTGGTATTGTTCACGGATTCTGGTAGATGACATGAGATTCCTTAGAAACAAGGCAGCATGAGCATCCATCCTACTTATGTCTGCTCTCTTGTCCTCAACTCTCATGGGAGCAACACAGAGGGGCCGGGTGGGCGTTACACATGCAGCAGGTTTGTGACACAGTTGAGAGGCACTGAACTTGGGGAACCCACCATCATTGCCACTGCCACCGTTTTTATTGTAAGCAAGCCGGCTCCACGGGAGATGTTCCCTCATCTCTCAAGGTTGCTGGCTACACACACAACCCTGTGGAATGGTTGGGGAAATATCGGGGGTGGCATTGCAGTCACAGCACACCCAGCGATAACATGGAGGGATGCTCAGGCCCCAAGGTGGACTGCGGCTCCTGGCAACGCCTATCTCCCATCTCCGCTAGTAGACATTCTATCTAGCCTGGAATTCCATCTTGTGCTGGAAGATTCCGCAGCCCTCCCCTCACACACATGCTCTCCTTCCCTTTCTATTTTCCTTATAACCCTCACCTATACCTCTCTTTTGCGTCTGTGACGGTCCCTCCCCTGCCAGCGGAGTGCGGACACCTTGAGGGCGGGGCTTGGTCCTCTTCATTCCTGCCTTCCACACCCAGATTGTTTGCATCTAGCCGGTGCCTAGACCGTATTTGTTGAGTTGGACAGAAGCAAGATCTTCCTGCATGGTTATGCTTTTCCAGAGAGTCTGCTGGACTGTGCCTTGGAATGTGAAAAACATTCCCGGATTCCAGAGGCTAAAAATATCGCCCCCAAACCACTGCCTGGCGCTTCCTTGTAAGGAGCGAGTCGGGACTCCGGAGGCTGAAAGTTTATGCCCACCAGGTGGCGCTCCGACCCTCCAGTCTCCCGAGGCCTTTTTTAGAAGACGGGCTGGATTCTCTTCCCTCCCCCATGTCAACGTTCGTTCGCTTAGGTCCCCCACTCACAAAAGTCGTGTCATCAGTCCAGCACGCAGGTTCAGCCCCCAGCTGCCTGTCCGAGCCTCAGCCCTACTTAAGACGGCATCAGGTGGGCACTGAGCGCGTCCCTCCAGCGGGTGCCAAGGGAAGGATGCCGAGGAAAAGCCCTGAAACTGGGGTCAGAAGACCTAGGTTTGAGACGCAAAGACACTTACAAGTCGTTTCTCTGGGCAAGTCGCTTAACCTTTCTGAGTCCCTGCGAGAGCAGCTGAGAATAAAATGTGGGAAATTATATAAAAATGCTTTGAACTTGGACGTGGTGTCAGCTACACCTGGGCTGGTGTTTCAGCTGTCCCCACTAGCTCTGGGAACGCGGTCAACTTCTTTAACCCTCTAAGCCCTGACTTCCCCATCAGCAATTGAGAGCTAATAACAAGCATTTCATGGGGTTGGTGTAAGGATCAAGTAGAAGAAAGAATTTAAAGTGCTGTCATCATGCCTAGCATTTAGTAAGTATTCAATTAATAAAAATCACATATTTATGATGTATCCCTGGCCCCTAAAACAGTGCCCAGCCATTAATAGGTGCTCAATATCTATTTTCTGGGTAAAATAATTTTACAGATGAGGAAACTGAGGCACAAAGAGGTCAAGTAGCCCCTTCCCCCTCTGCCTAGGCCCCAGCACTAGGGAGCAGTGACACAATGATGCATAGCAGGGCAGTCTGACTGCAGCGCCTGCACCCGGAGCCTCCACACCAAGCTGTCTGACACAGACAGGGGTGCTGTACATCACCATTTGTTCATTTAAAATGCACATTCGGAGCTTTCTCAAGTATCTGTAGGTGGGCTGAGTTGGCAGTGAGTGGCATTAGCCCCCAAGAAGCCACCTAGTTTTGCTCACCCATGGAGAGCCAAACCGCTGGAAGAAGAACCTGCTCAGCCAGGCTGGGGGCCAGTGGATTCACTTCATGACCAAGAGATGAAGGGCCAGCTCTGCAGCGTGGGGTCTGCTGGAGGTCTGATGCATGTACGGTCCGCAGGGTAAGAGTGGTCCTCTCCATTCCATTGCCGTTCCTGCGGCCACTCAGTCATCTACTCCACTTATATTTACTGAGGGTCTCCTATGTGCCAGGCACAGGCAAAGATGGGTAAGACGTGACCAATGGTTATGACGTAGCCAACTCAGAACTACTGCAGAAGGGTGGTCCAAGTGGGGGCCTAGAAGAACAAGTAAATAGCCTGGGAGACGGGACAAAAGAGGCAGCATTTAAATTGGGCATTGAAGGATAAGTAGAAGTTTGGCTTCCAGGTGGGGTCTGGGAATGCTGGGCATTCTGAGAAATCTGGGAAATTTAAGAGGGTTAGTAGAGAGCTAGCATGCTGGGTGGGAGCAGGGGAGAGGGAAGGAAGTGGAAAACCAGGAAGTTGGAAGTTGGTTGGGGCCAGATTGTGAAATATGGCACATGGACGAGAAAGACCCTATCCTGTGGTCAGTGGGGAAAGAGGTGTAATGAACAACCAGGTCTGCTTTAGAAAGACAGGGGCACAAAGGTCGGATCTGAATGGGGAGAGAAGAGACCAGCCGTATGAACCCTTCTAGGGTTCATTTTCCTCCTGAGGAAAACGAGGAGCATTGTTTATGTGTGTCTGAGATTGTTTTGAGGCTTGAGTGGGAACGCACTTCCCGTGTAGACAGGGTGACACGAAAATATAAGGCTTCACTGGGCTCCATTGCAGACGCCTTGGCCTGGCAGTCAAGCGCGTGGGCTTTGCTGTCTCTTGGAGTCGGGTTTGTGTCCGGCCACGTTAGGCAGCAGATGTGGAATCTAGGCAAAACGGAGGATGGCAGGAGGGGTTGCATAGCGCCGTGGGGATGAAATGTTGTGCCGTGTGGGAGGGTGGCGGCGCCTCTGGTGGGCGATGGTCTCTCACCCTGACACCGGGAAGTGGGCGCTGGCACAGTCTGAGCCCAGCTTTGGGCAGGATGAGCCTCAGGTGGCCCCCAAAGATATGGCGGATGTCCAGGTGAGAATGGCAGCCAGCTCAAGCCCAGCTCTGCTCTCCCTCGCCAAGGAAGGGCCAAGAGGCCCAGGGGGCGCTAGGCCAGGAGAAGGGGAAGGCAGGGGGCCCGGCCAGAGGCAGTTAGGACGCTGGAGAGGCTGGCTTTCCCCTCCGGGCTGGACCGGAGCGGTGGAGGCAGGGCGAGTAGGGGCGACCCCAGATGTGGCAAACTTGGCGCGGGCGGACGGGCGGGCGGGAGGCGGGTCGGTGCGGGGCGCCCCGCCCTGCCCTGAGGATGAAGCAATCCCAGCTGGGAGTCTGGCGCGGCAGGGCAAGGGGGGCGCCAGGGTGGCGGGCGAGACGGGAGGAGAGATGGCAGGAAGCCGGGAGGAGCGAGCGGGGGAGGAGATGGTGGAGAGGAAAGGAAAAGGGCGGGCAGGAGGGTGGAGAAAGGGCGAGAGAACCAGAGGACGGCTGGGGGAGGAGAGAGGGGAGGAAGGGAGGGGAGAGGAGAGGAAGAGAAAGGGCTAGGAGGGGAGCGCGGCGAGGATCCCGCGGCGGGCGCAGCGGGCACCTCGGCCGGGCCGCCCCGCGAGCAAGGCGCCGCCATTCCGCTGCTCGGGGCGCCGCCGCCGCCGCCACCGCGCCCGGGGGCCATGCTCCCGCCGCCCCCGCGCCAGCCGCCACCCCAGGCGCGTGCGGCCCGGGGCGCGGTGCGCCTGCAGCGGCCCTTCCTGCGCGGCCCGCTGGGCGTGCTGCGGCTGCTGCAGCTGCTGGCCGGCGCCGCCTTCTGGATCACCATCGCCACCAGCAAGTACCAGGGCCCCGTGCACTTCGCGCTCTTCGTGTCCGTGCTCTTCTGGCTGCTGACCCTGGGCCTCTACTTCCTCACGCTGCTGGGCAAGCACGAGCTGGTGCCCGTGCTGGGCTCGCGCTGGCTCGTGGTCAACGTGGCGCACGACCTGCTGGCGGCCGCGCTCTACGGCGCCGCGACGGGCATCATGATCGACCAGACGCAGCGCCACAGCTACTGCAACCTCAAGGATTACCCGCTGCCCTGCGCCTACCACGCCTTCCTGGCGTCCGCCGTCTGCGGCGGCCTCTGCCTCGGCCTCTACCTGCTCTCGGCGTTCTACGGCTGCTGCCGCCGCTGCCAGGGCAAGCAGGAGGTGGCGTGAGGTCGCCCGCGCCCGCCGCGGCCCCATCGGGGCGGGGGACCCTCCGGAGACCAGCGCCCCAGTCCTTCCTGCTGCCGCTGCCTCGCGCCGGTGCGCCCTGGCACCCTCCCCTTGCCCAGCGTTTCCACTGCCACCCGCGCCCATGAAGCCGACACGCAGGTCCCGCCCGACGACAGCGCTACAGCCAGAGTCTGGACCGCCAGGCGGGACGCGCCGTCTCCGGGGACCAGCGCAGAGCCGCGATCCGAGGGGCGGACGCAGACTCCAGATGGGCCGCCCCGAGGCGAAACCTCGCGGTTCCTCTTCCCCTTCCCTGCCGAGAGCGAGACGTGGACAGGCGCCGCGTAGATCCGGGGGAGGCTCCCAAATTGGAACCAGTCTCACAGCTGCGCCACGGCCCCCTTCCCTCCCGCCCCGCGGTCGGAAGAGCACCCCCTTCCCTGGCCCCTCTTCCAGCCTCCAGTGCTGTAATAGACAGGCGCCAGCCACGGGCGGAGCTGGGGACAGGCCTCAGCTGGTGGCGAGATGAGCGAGGAGTTTGGCTTTAGTTTGGGATTGTGCGGGCATCCTGTGCAGCCCCTTTCCCCATCTCTCGGTGCTTTGATGTTTTGGGGTGGGGCCCATCTGCAGAGGTGGGGACGGGTAGGAAGGGCCGGCGGGCTGTGCCGTTACACCTTGGGAGTTTTCCCTCGCTTCTCCCTACTCCGCCTATGTCCCTGCGGTTTAGCAGGCCAGTCCCAGACACACGCTAACTTTCCTGGCCTCAGTGACACAAGTCTCTTCTCAGCCTTCTTCTCACAAGCTTCTACTCCGCTCACCCCCTACCCCCCAGTATGTTTGCATTGGGAATCCCTCGGCCGCAGAGGAATGTTAGGGTGAGCTCCACCCCTTCTTTTTACAAATGGGGACCCGGAGCCTGCTCTCGGGAACAGCCAGAGTAAGATTAGAATCCGGTCTGTGCGCTCGCAGTCCAGCGCTGTTTGCAGGAAGAGGAGGGGGTGCGCGCGCGGACCGCTGGCTGGGGAGCTACCCTCTGAAAGGGTTTCTAGGCCAACTAAGTTTGTCTACGGTGCTATCTCCCCTTCTTAGAGATTGGCCAGGCTCATTAGCATGTCACAGACTGAGAGTGCCGCTGTCACAGAAGCCCAAGTAATTTAGTTTGCTGTATTAACTGCTTTTGGGCCTGGGCCAGTACTTCCCACCTTAGGGTTCCAAGCAGTCCTGTGCTGTCCCGGGGCTCTCATTCCTCAGGGCCCAACCCATTGGCTGTGTTCTGTTTGAAGATCCGGGGAGCTCCATCCCTTTCCCAGGGAATTTCTCTAGCAGAGGGAGGGACCCACCCCACCCCACCCCACCCCAGTGAGGAAGGAGATTGCTGCCCCTAACCAGCCAGAGACTTAGTGAACTTGAACATTCCTTTACATTGTTGAAGAAATGAAGCCAAGGTTATCCAGATGGTCTAAAGGAAAGTCACCTGTAAAAGATCTGGGCTTTGAACGTGAACAGCTGGGAGGGTGGGTCCCACTCATCAAAGAAGAAAAATCTCTGGAACTGGGGTGAACTGCTGGCTGGGCCTGGAAGGTAAGACCCTTCTTGAGTTTCTGGAAGGGGCCATAGGCATTTGAATAAAAGGCACAGAGCCTTCTTTTTCCTTTTTTTTGAGACAGAGTCTCGCTTTGTTGCCCAGGCTAGAGTGAGTGCCATGGGGTCAGCCTAGCTCACAGCAACCTCAAACTCCTGGGCTCAAGTGATCCTCCTGCCTCAGTCTCCCGAGTAGCTGGGACTACAGGCATGCACCACCATGCCCGGCTAATTTTTTCTATTTTTAGTTGTTTGGCTAATTTCTTTCTATTTATAGTAGAGACGGCATCTCGCTCTTGCTCAGACTGGTCTCTAACTCCTGAGTTCAAGCAATCCTCCCACCTCTGCCTCCCAAATGTTTTTAAAGCTTAGTAGCAGAGGTATTAGGGTTCCCTGTGGAGGTTGTGCAGGTGGTGGTGGGGACAGGGCTGTTGAGCACACGGGTATGTTTTACATCTGTCACCATCAGCACCTGTGTAGCCCTACTATGTGGTGGGCACTGCTCAAAGCATTTGACAGGTATTTATTCTCTCAGTAACCCTACTAAGGTGGCTTCTAATGTTCTTCCCATATTCCACATGAGGAAAACGAGTTCCAGAGAGGTTAAATCATTTTCCCAAGGTCTCTTAGCTAGCGAGGAGCAGTGGAGCTGGGATTTGAAGTCTGGCAGTTTGGCCTTTAAATGGACCAGGCTATGCTATATATAGTAGGCGGTCAGTACATATTGGATACTGTCAATATGGTCACTTAAAATTTTTTTTAATAGTGGGAAAATATAACATAAAATGTACCACCGTAACCATTTTTGAAGTTTTTGTTTACTTGTTAGTTAGTTATTTGTTTTTGTGCCTTTTTTAAGAGAGGGGAAGGGGTTTCCCTTTTTTGCCCAGGCTGGTCTCAAGCTCCTGGCCTCAAGCGATCCTTCTTCCTCAGCCTCCTGAGTAGCTGGGACTATAGGCATGAGCCACTGCATCCAGCTCATCTTAACCATTTTTAAGTGTACAGTTCAGTGGTGTTAAGAACATTCACACTGTAGTGCAACCATCACTACCATCCATCTCCAGAACTTATTCCATCTTGCAAAACTGAAACTCTGTATCTAGTAAAATTGTGGTTATTTTTGTTGTTTTTTCTCTTCTCTGGGGAATCCCAGAACACTGAGTCCCAAGGGTCCCCTGAGTCCTTCATTGCTGAGGCTGGGTCCTGTTGTCATGCTTCAGGAAGAATAACTGTTCCCTGAGCCCCAACCGCTGGTGCCAGCCAGAGCCTGGGGTGGGCTTCTCTGGGACAGTTGGGGTGCCTTGGAAGCCCAGTGACTTTTGTTCTTCTGTTGCAGGTTTCCATGTTGCTGGGGCCATGGAGATTTCCAGGGTTGACCATACCAACTTCTCCCAGGGTCCGCTTCCCTGGGCCAGCCACACCATTCGGGCCTGGGCCAGCAGAAGGTTTTGCAGTCCTCACTGGCAGTGGGGAGAGGAGTGACCTCTGCCCCACAGCTTCCTTTCCATGCCATGCAGTGGGAGAGTTAAGATGGGTGAAGATTGATTTTGCCTTAAATGAAGAGAATTCCTGATTCTCCTTGTGCTATGACTTGGGCATAAGATCGTGGTCACCTGGAACTGAGCTGCGCACCCCTGTACCCTAAACAATGGGTTTGAGTTTGAGCTTTTGTTCTTTTTGTCTTTTTCTAGATCACCATGTAAGTTGCATCCTCAGCTCAGGTCCAGCCCCCTCAGGATCCCCTTCTTACCCCCAGCCCCTGGTGCTGTCTGTGGTCAGGTGACCTTACTCAGGAGCAGATATCTCCTTGGCCTTCGTGGTGCCTCATCCATCCAGACGTGCCTGTAGCATTCCAGAGCTCACTGGCTCTACTAGATGTGCCTTCCCGCTCGGCTTCCAGCGGCTTGGCGGTCCCTCTTTCTGCCAGATGTGAGTAGGACTCGTGAGACGGCCGGCACACCTGCCCTCCCCGTCCAGGTCCTGCGCCATAGGAGTGGCCATCTGACCTGGCCCAGCACTTTTGGATACTGCAGGCAGTCTCAGAGGCCCCCCTCTTTGGACACCAGGACTCAGTCCAGCCCAAGGCCACCTGGGCAGCTCCCAGCCCAAAAGCCTGGGGCTACTTGTAGACCCAGGAGAGGATTTCTACAGCGTTCTGCCAAGGCCAAAAGGGAGGGATGAGGGGGGTTAGGGAGAGGGGACCTATGTGCCTCATTCAGTAGTTTAGTGGTGATTACTAATATGCTTTTCCAAATAAAGTCTGGTTGTCTGATCTCAGTGTCTGTGTCTTCTGTCCTGGTCCTCTATGGTAACCCTGTGTGCCAGGTCCTCCCAGCCCTGCCGCCTGCCTCCTCTCTGCCTCCTGGCTTCCCTTCTCCTTCTAGGGGGGAAAGAAAAAGGAGTTTACAGATTTCCAGTGCAGTTAGGAGCAGGGGACAGGGGTTGCCCGAGGACAGAAACCACAGGGAAGAAAACTGCCTGTGTCTGTCCCTGACTGAGGCTGGAGGGAATTCCAGAGGCTCCTGTCCCTGCTCTCAATGAGCCCTCTGTTGGGGAGCCAGGAAGATTCTGTTCTAGTCCCACCCCATCATTTTGCAGAAAGGGAAACAAAGTCCAGGGTGGAGTGGCAACCTGCCTCATGCGGCACAGCTGATTAGGGACAGATTTGGGATCTCCTGGAGCCCAGGAGCTGAGTTTCTTTCCTGCAGGCCACGGTGCCTGCTCTGGTGTTGCCTTCTGGACCACACCCGCCTGGCTTTTCAATTCCCCAGAGACTGTTTGCCCAGCAAGCTGTTGCATGCTGACCGAGATGCCCCAAAAAGGGTGTTTGGGCAGAGTTAGGAGGCTCCCTCCCTGGCTCCTTCCTATGCCTGGGGCCTGAGGTCTGCAGCCAGGAAACGAAACAGAATTCTACTGGTAAGTCTCAAAACTCACCTGGAACAGCTTCAGGCTGGGATCTGACGATGTGTGTGCACCACACCCACTCTCTTCCAAAGATTCCTCCCCAACACGTAAACACACACACACCCCCCTGGCTTGGTTTGGGATTTGCAGGGTGGAGGAAAATGCCACCGGCTGCTGCGGCCCCTCCATTACTCCCCTTTTCCCTCTTCTGTCTATTCATGAACTTCACATGCAAAATAAAAAGTTGGCGGTACTTTCTGCAAAAGCTGGTAAGGCCCTGCTTGGCCCCACCTTAGGTTATGGAGCATTTTGCAATTGAAAATGCGCTTCTATCTGTATTACCCTATTTGGTCTTCCCAGCAGTCTCAGAAGTTGGCACTGTTGCCCCCCTTTCAACAGAGGAAATAGTGACCCAGAGAGGGTCACACAGCTAGCTATGGCAGGGCAGGGGCTGGAAGGCAGAGATTCTCTTAAACCCTAGTGGTCCTTTGGCAGGCTCTGAAGATTAGGTGGAGTTTGGTTTTCCTTCTTGGGGACCAGGTGTTTAGGAATGCTCTAATCTGGCATTTCCTGCTTAATGTGGTGTAGGGGTGGCACTTTGAAATAAGACACTGCTACTCAGGGACATAAGGAGCCCTTCTGAGTCTGGAAAATCCCAGGGGTTTGCTCATTTATGTCTATTACTTTTCCTGCTTTTCTAGGGAAGAGGGGTGGTGGTGGCCAGTGGTAAAAAGAGAATGAACTAACATTTTCACAGATAAAAGGAAAGAACAGGGTTAGGAGAAAGATCTGGTCAGCAAGGTTTATTTATGTATTTATCATTCTGTTTGTTACAATAATTACTTGTACAATAAAATTGCAATGCATATATCCAATAAAATATAATAGCTATATGCACCCATTAAAAAATTTAAACAGTACAAAAGTGTTACAAAACAAAAAGATAAGTCATTCCACCATCCTAATCTCATGCCCTAGAGATAAATCATTAACTATTAACTCTCTTTCCTTCCTTCTTCCTTCCTCTTCCTTCCTTCTTCCTTTCTCTTCCTTCCTTCCTTTCCTTCCTTCCTTCTCCTCCTTCTTTTTCTTCCTTCTTCTTTTCTTTCTTTCTTTCTTTCTTTCTGACATAGTCTCACTCTGTTGCCTGGGCTAGAGTGCTGTGGCATCAGCCCAGCTCACAGCAACCTCCAACTCCTGGGCTCAAGTGATCCTCCTGCCTCAGCTTCCCTGGTAGCTGGGACCACCAGCTACTTTTTAGGCATGCGCCACCATGCCCGGCTAATTTTTTTCTATATATTTTTAGTTTGCCAATTAATTTGTTTCTATTTTTCGTAGAGATGGGTCGTGCTCTTGCTCAGGCTGGTTTCGAACTCCTGACCTTGAGCAATCCTCCCGCCTCGGCCTCCCAGAGTGCTGGGATTACAGGCGTGAGCCACTGCACCCGGCCCCTTCCTTATTTTTTTATAACTAGTTAAATATATGAATGCATGCACACACATACACACAAATATTCAGACTCTTCTACAACTTGCTTTTTAAATTTGTAATGTAGTTCTAACTCTTTCTACAGATCCATATAAAGAGTAGTTGGGGCTACAAGAATTCTGAGGGCTTTCTGGAAGCTTGGTTAACTTTGTTAACTTCTTCCATTGGTTAACTTGGCCGTTCCCTACAGAGATCATAGCAAAACCCTTAAAAGTGGGGTGGATCCTCTTCTAGTCACGAGGAAACTGAGGCCAGGTGAAGTGAAGTGGTTTGCCCAGGTCAGTGTCTTTTCTACCCCTAGCCTGCCAAGAGTAGCAGTGGGGTGGCTGGGTCCCAATCCATAGCCAGTCTTGTGGAGTGGAGTCCATGGACTAGGGCTAGTGGGGACAGCTGGAAAGATGTGAGGAGGGCCCGACACTCTCTGGGCCCCACAGGGCAAGGTGTGCTGGTGAGGTGGCCAGAACCCTAGAAGAGCACTTGGGCATAACCAGCAGGTCTGTGGGACCCAACCTTATCAGCCTGAGGAATTCCAGTCTGGTTCCTTCTAATCTGAAAGTGCTTTTGCCCTCCTTATTCCATGACCCCATTCCTTTTGAACTGTGTGGAATCTTGTAGGCACCAAGGCTGTGCCCTTCCTTCCCCGGTGTGGATGGTGACAGCAAGCTGCCAGAGGCCGTTCCTCTAGGCTCCATGCCTGCTAGTCCCTCCCATGTGATGAATGTGCTCCTTGCTGCCATCTCTGGGAGTCCTGAAGGGGACACTCTGCTCCCCAGTTGTAAAGCACTTCTGAGTCAAGGTTGGTAAGAGGGAGAAAGGGAACTAACTTTTTACAGGGCCTACCCTGAGCGGAGAACGTGATGGATGCCTTATATAACGTCTCCTAGCCTCTCAATGCCATCAGGTAGCAAATGCATTTAACAGTTGTGGAAGCAGGCTCAGGGGTGAACTGAGTTGCCCAGGGCACTTGAATACTTAGTGACAGAAAACCACATTCAAACTCAGGTCTGGGCTGGTGTTGTGGCTCATGCCTGTAATCCTAGCACTCCAGGAAGCTGAGGCCAGGATACAATTGCTTGAGGTCAGGAGCTCGAGACAAGCCTGAGCAAGAGCATCTCTACTATAGAAAAAAAAAAAAAATAGCTGGGTGTGGTGACACACACCTGTAGTCCCAGCTACTCCAGAGGCTGAGGCAGGAGGATCGCTTGAGCCCAGGAGTTTGAGGTTGCTGTGAGCTAGGCTGACGCCACAGCATTCTAGCCTAGGCAACAGAGGGAGACTCTGTCTCAAAAACAAAACAAAACAAACTCAGGTCTGTGCTACCACACCATGATGCCCCAAGGGTTTCCCAGCAGACAAACTGTTTTTTCCCAACCATACACAGACTTCATCCAAACCTAGTCCGAGTTTTGAAATATTTATATCTTGAGCTAAGGCAGGAAAGATTGTAAAGAAAATTACGTCATTATAAATCTGAATTATGTCAGCTTCTCTCTTCCCAGTTTACAGTGAAGTTAGAGCGTCGCCTTCAGGTTTAATCAGCTCCTTGTGCTGAGGTCAGCTCTCCTGGTCCCTGGAGACAGTCCCTGTGGCACCAGAGGTGAGAGGACGTGTCAGACCGCCCACACTTCCTCCACCCTCCCTCTGGGGGAAGGTGCCATAGGTATGGCCGCCTGACCTGACTCCCAACATTTGGGTACTGAGCACCCGCCTTTCGCAATCGCGTTCTGTGTTCTGTTCTCTGTTCTGCCTCCTTTCGCCGTCCTGGGCAGTGAGCACGACTGGCTCTGATTTTTAGGTGAGCTCAGCCTGTGGTGTCAGACGTGAGCCCAACCTCTTATTGGTTGTCTGCTCTCCCGCAATTTATGAAGCTGAGGTCTTTGCGCCGCAGCTTTATCGCTTAGTAAATGGGGCTGATATTAGTACCTGCCTCACTGGACTTGGAGGATGAATGAGATACACACATAAAACAGCGTGGTTGGTAATTTAGTTGGTTAAGTTCGGCTCTCGGCATTATAGCTTTGTTGGGGGATTTCATAAGATGATGTGTGTGCAGTGCAGAGCCAGTGCCGGACCATCGTCAGAGCTCTGCTCATAGATGTGACTCCCCTTCCGTCCCTGCTCCCTCCACCCGGGGTCCCTGCCTAAGGAATGCTAACTGATAATCTCACCCCCCACAGACTGATCCATTTTTCTCATTGGTGTCTAGTCTTCTTTTTGGTGTCCAGATTTAGTGTCTTGACCTTTTTTTTTTTTGAGATAGGGTCTCACTGTGTTGCCCCGGCTGGATTCAAACTCCTGGGCTCAAGCGATCCTCTCGCCTCAGACTCCCGAGTAGCTGGGACTACAGGCACGTGCCACTGTGCCTGGTTCTCCTGAGCTTTCTTGACAAAAAAGCTCAGAAGTGTTAAAATTATTGTTATTAATACATACCCGAAGTCGAGATTCTTCTTCTCTCTGGAGTCTGAGGTCCTTCTTTGCCCTCCTTTTTCTTCCCTTTTGCAGTCTCCAGGCCCGGCTCTGTTCACCAGGCAGCGTACCCTCCGCTCTCCTGCCTGTCTGGAAAGGGGACTCGCTCTTCCCATGGAGTCTTCTGGGCTTCCCGTCCACCTGGAGAGACGAACTGGCCTCGGGTTCAGTTGTCAGCAGTGGAAGGTTCGTAGTCTTTCCTCACTGTGCATTTGCAGGCTCCTCCGTGACCACATTCAAGCCAAGATTCATCCAGGCTGAAGGGATGCTTCCCAGGAACAGTTGCCAGGAACTTGGCTTTTCTAGCAGTTGCGTGGGTATCTGGGCATTTCACACCATGACCTTCCTCATTTCCCTGGTAAAGTCAGTTGTATCTATCGGCTTGTTGACTTCTCCTCCCAGCCAATCCTAGGAACTAGTGAACTTGCTGGGTTTGTTTTTTTCTTTTAATTTAAATGAATGAACTCCCTCAGAGATCTTAATGTAGGGTGCCAGAAGGCCAAGGTGGTGGAGTCTTTTTGTGGTGACTGCGATAGTGATGATAATCACGATGACATTATTGTTGATAATGACATTGACAGTATAATAATAAAGATTATACAATGTCCCTGTACTCTTGTATTCACAGTTCACAAAATTATTTTTACATTTATTATTTTATCTCATCCTTCTATTAACAGATGAACAGTGTAGATAATAACTGCATTTGTAGATGAGGCTCAGAGAGGTGAAGTGGCTGCCTACATATCTGTTTTTTTAAATAATTGGTTTATTAGGGTATACTTGATGTACATTAAACTGCACATATTTAAAATGTACAACGTAATACATTTTGGCATGTGTGTGTATACACTCATAAAACTATCAGCACAATCAAGACAATGAACATATCCATAATGCAACCACCAATCTGCTTCCTGTGACTATAGATTAGTTCTGCATCTTCTAGAATTTTATATAAGTGGAATATACAGTATGTGCTCTTTTGGGGAGGAGGTGGTGTCTGGATTCTTTCACTCAGCTTAATTATTTTGTGATCAATTCATGCTATTCTGGTAGAAATAGTTCATTCTTTTTTATCACTATTATTTTATTGTATGGATATACTATAATTTGTTTATCCATTCAACTGTTGGTGGACATTTGTGTTGTTTCAAGTTTTTGGTTATTGCAAATATAGCTGCTATGAAAATTATGTACAAATCTTTGTGTAGACATATGCTTTAATTTCTCTTGGGTAGATACCTAGCAGTGGAATGGCCAAGTTGTGTGGTAGTTTTATTATATTTTATTATTTTAAATTGGCTGTGTTCCAGATGAGATTTGTTTGTGTGTGTGTGTGTACTCTTTTTTTTTTTTTTGAGACAGAGTCTCGCTGTGTTGCCCAGACTAGAGTGAGTGTCATGGCGTCAGCCTAGCTCACAGCAACCTCAAACTCCTGGGCTCAAGCGATCCTGCTGCCTCAGCCTCCTGAGTAGCTGGGACTACAGGCATGCGCCACCATGCCCGGCTAATTTTTTCTATACATATTAGTTGGCCAATTAATTTCTTTCTATTCATAGTAGAGACGGGGTCTTGCTCTTGCTCAGGCTTTACTCCTGACCTTGAGCAATCCGCCCACCTCGGCCTCCCAGAGTGCTAGGATTATAGGCGTGAGCCACCGCGCCTGGCCTTGTGTGCGTGTATTCTTTTGCCCGATGTTTGTATCAGAGGGGGTAATTCTGGACTCATAGAATAAATTAGGATGTTTTCCATCTTGTTTTATATTCTGTAAGAGTTTAAGTATATCATTTTATTGATGAGTTTGTTGAAATTGATCTACAAAATAATCTGCTGGACCTGATGCTTTTAAGGAAGTTTTAGATTTTTATTTCTTTTTATTTTTGATTCTTTCAATTTCTTTAATGGTAATTGGTGTATTCAGGTTTTTGGGTGGGTTACCAACTGCTCTTTCTTTTTTTTTTTTTTTTTTTTTTTGAGACAGAGTCTCGCTTTGTTGCCCAGGCTAGAGTGAGTGCCGTGGCGTCAGCCTAGCTCACAGCAACCTCAAACTCCTGGGCTCGAGTGATCCTTCTGCCTCAGCCTCCCGGGTAGCTGGGACTACAGGCATGCACCACCATGCCCGGCTAATTTTTTATATATATATCAGTTGGCCAATTAATTTCTTTCTATTTATAGTAGAGACGGGGTCTCGCTCTTGCTCAGGCTGGTTTTGAACTCCTGACCTTGAGCAATCCGCCCGCCTCGGCCTCCCAAGAGCTAGGATTACAGGCGTGAGCCACAGCGCCCGGCCCCAACTGCTCTTTCATTGGTGGTATATTTATTTATTAATAGGTTGTCTGTCCCACTAGAATGTAAACTGTTTGAGGAAAGAACTCCAGGCTCTTTTCTTTATATTCTCATGAAAGGTATATAATATAGAGTCATTTGGTGGAATGAATGAATATTGACGTCTAGCTGCTGTAACAAATACACCCTGACATTTCAGTAGCTTAATATAACAAAATCTATTTGTTTCTTCACATACAGATCTATTTCTTTCTCACAGAACTGTCCACTGTGGGTGTTCCTGAGCAGTGGAAGACTTTCCACCAAGGGATGACTCAGGGTCCCAGCCTCCTTCCACCTTGTGACTCAGCCATCCCCTCTGCTTTGAAGTGGAGGAAGAGAGGCAGGAGGTTTCTGACTTACAAATACCTTGGTCTAGAAGGGACACTCAACACTCCCACTCACTTCCTTGAGAGTAACATGACCCAACCTATATGCAAAGGAGGCTGGGAAATGTAGTCCCTGGCTGGGCCGCTGCTGCTTAGCAACAACTCTCCATCATGGAAGGGGGACCAAGACTTTTCCATGGGCAGTTAAGTGTCTTTTTCACGGGAGGCAAAAGGTTTTATTGCTGAGGTTTTCATTGCCTTGCTCTGTGAGAGTTTTTGTGCCAGTGTTTGATGAATGGTTGTTTTCATGGCTGCCAAGAGCTGTTGAGTAAGAATGTAACAGCAGACATTCATTTCCTCGCTGTGTTTGTCCAACAACTCACTGTCTCACAGCTGGAAAACTCATTACTCATGAGTACTTCTTTCCCAGGTACAAGAACATAAAGATGTATTTATCGAACACTTTTTAGGGCAATGACGGTGAACCGTTAATCCAAAAATACACACCAGACAAATGTCAAGTTTAAATACTAGAGAAAAGTCTAAATGTTAAAGAGAATTTAAAGATACATACTAGTCAAATATCTCTTTCATTTATCCATTCATTTTTTTATTGAAACCTAATTCATATAACATTAAATTTCACATAATATAGCATAAAAATTCCCAGTTTTAAAGTGTACAATTCAGTGGGTTTTAGTATATTCACAAGGGTGTATAACCATCACCACTATTTAATTCCGGAAAGTTTTCATCATCTCAAAGGGAAGCCCTGTACCTGTTAGCAGTCAGCCCCAGTTCCTTCCTCCCCTTGGTCTCTGGCAACCACTGATCTACTTTGTCTCTACAGACTTGTCTATTCTGGACATTTCGTATAAGTGGAATCATACGCCTTTTGTGTCTGTTTTCTTTCACTTAGCATAATGTTTTCAATGTTCATCAATGTAGTATGTATCAATACCTCATTCCTTTTTATGGTGAATAATATTCCATTGAATGGATAGACTACATTTTGTTTACATCATTCATTCATTTAAAAAAACTTTTAATCGTGGCAAAGAATGCACATAACATAAATTTTGCCATCTTTCATGTGCACAGTTCAATGGCATTAAGTATATTAATATTGTTGTGAAACTATCACCAGCAACTCTTTCTAGAACTCTTCTGAGCTTGCAAAACTAAAACTCTAAACAATGACTTCCTATTTTTCCCTCCCTCCAGCTCCTGGCCACCACAATTCTACTTTCTGTCTCCATGAATTTGACTACTGTAGGTACCTCATGTAAATGGAATCATACTGTATTTGTCTTTTTGTGACTGGTTTGTTTCAACTTAGCATAACGTTCTCAAGGTTTACATATGTTGTAGCATGTGTCAGAATGCCCTTCCTTTTTAAGACTAATATTCCAGTGTATGTATAGACCACATTTTGTTTATCCATTCATCCATTGATAGACACTTGAATTGCTTCTACCTTTGGCTATTATGAATAATCTGCTATGAACATAGGTGTACAAATATCTCTCCAAGACCCTGCTTTCAATTCTTTTGGATATATATGCAGAAGTGGAAATGCTGAATTACATGGTTATTGTAATTCTACTTTTAATTTTTTTGAGGATCATACTGCTTTCCACATCATTTTACACTCCTACCAACAGTTCACAAGGGTTCCAATTTCTCTACATCCCCACCAACACTTGCTATTTTCCATTTCATTCATTCATTCATTGAGTACCCACTATGCCAAGGCCCTATATCTGGTAGAAAATGGGGCTGCCAAGATATTAAGTCTCAGGCTCAGTCTCCCTGCTCTCAGGAACTCAGGGGACAATGGGGGAAACAGTAGTGTTCCAGAGATGGATCGAAATGCCAGGTGACAGTCACCTAATACAGAAGGAACACAGAGCAGGAAGTGAGGAATTATTTGGGGAAGGCATCACAAACATTCACAAGCTGGGTGTTAAGAGCTGAGTGGGAGGGGTCAGGAGGAGAGGCAAGGGGTATCCTACGCTGGCAGAACAGCACAAGTAGCCTCCACGATGGCTTCCAGGAGAGCCCCAGTTATTTTCACCTCCTGCTATTCATACTCTTGTATGATCCTCCTACACAGTGAATAGGGCTGACCTGTAAAACCAACAGGATATTGCGAAAATGACGGTGTGGGACTTCAGAGAGTTTTTAAAAGTTTTGCTTCCATCGTAAAAGAACTTTTGCTCCCTGCCTTGCTCCCTGTTGGATCTCTTGCTCTAGGTTAACTCAGACACCGTGTCTTGAGGACACTCAAGAAGCCCTCTGGAGAGTCCCAAGTGAAGAGGACCTGGAACCTTCTGCCAGCTTGTCATATGAGAGAGTGCCAGCCGTGTGAGGAACTGATCCTCCAGTCCCCTGGAGACCTCAGATGACTGCAGCCTGGCCAACATCTGACTACAACCTTATGGAAGCCCACCCCTGAGGCAAAACCACCCACCAAGACTCCCCAAACAGCGAGATAACATATGTTTACTGTTTTAAGCCATAAAGTTTTGGAATACTTTATCACACAACAAGAGATAACTCATACAGCTAGAAATATGAAAATATTTGGCATACTGTGGAAATGGTGTGAAATTCATTGAGGCTGGCATGAGAAATCTTAGCCAGAAACTTGAAGTTTAAAGAGATGCCTCTGAAACCCCAAGGTTCTTAGTAAGAGTGGGCGAGGGTGCCATCTGGTGGACAAAGGCATGCCTAGCCATTCCCTTCTCTCTCCCATGGCTATTTCTGCAGCTTGTTCTACTCAGCACTTCTTCCCCAAAATAAGACAGGGTCTTATATTTATTTTTCCTCAAGAAGACACCCTAGGGCTTATTTTTAGGGGATGTGTTATTTTTTTTAAGTACGGTACAACCATCTACATTTATTCAAATATAGTTAAGTCATCTTCTTCTGGAACATCATCATAACTCTCCAAACCCCGAATTCCATCCTGAATTTCTTGCGACTCTATTTCTTTTAGAACCATTGGCCCCAGTCTCTCATGTCGAGCAATAGAGCTCTCGTGGGGCAGATGAGAAGGGCTGCTCCTCTTCTTTACCGCTTCACGAGGAAATGCACGGGTTGTGCAGGTACACTGCGCAGACACGCCCATCACTAGGTCTTCTTTTTGGGGTAGGGCTTATATTGTACAAATGCTTAGAAATCCTGCTAGGGTTTATTTTATAGGTAGTTATTATTTTCAGAGAAACATGGTAGTACTTCTCCAGGGGCCATGTGAGGTTTATGAGTCAATTATTAATATGTGGACCCTAAACACACTCACTGATAGATGCAAAGACTGATCTCTGAAAAATGTCAAGTTATGGAATTAATTATCCTATTTGATTATTTAATTTTCTTCCTTAGCCTCTTCTACCTGTCTCCTACCCAGAGGAAAACACACTCACTGATAGATGCAAAGACTGATCTCTGAAAAATGTCAAGTTATGGAATTAATTATCCTATTTGATTATTTAATTTTCTCCCTTAGCCTCTTCTACCTGTCTCCTACCCAGAGGAAAACATCAGTAAGACCAGGAATTGAGGCCGAGAGTGAAGACTCAGAATGCTGGAGAAGGGAAGAAGGAAATAGAAGTTGATTATGCAAAATCGGAGTTTGTCTGGTTTGTCTCTAATCACCAGGGGAGGCCTCTGTTCATTGATGTTGGACATGACTATTGTCTCTTTCTGGTCTTCAGAGCCTTCTTGTATCCTCCAATATTCCCTCAAAATGATGCATAGGAGTTCTCGAGTAATGTCTCTCAATTCTATAGCTGCTGGAATTGAAAAAAACATTGCCGCTTCCCACAGCTTGCCTGAGGCCAGTGGTCCAGAGAGACCCAAGGAGGAGGAGGAGGAATTTCGAAGAAACTAAAATTTAAATTTTCAGTAAATTGTTGATGGTAGAATTTCAGGTAGTTAAGACATTGAAGAAAAAAATTTTCTTCTTTCTAAGAAGGGTGCAGCCTCCTTGGCGCAAATGCTACATCGTCCAGAAAACTTTCCCCATCTCCTCTCTTAAATGAAGTGTGTCTCTTCTCTTTGCTCCTACTTTTACTATAGGGCTCCCTGCTTTGTATGGCAGCTGAGTCAATTCCGTGTTTGCCCATTGAGCTAAGAGCCCCTGGAGGGTAGAATCTGCACCTTGTTTATCCTTGCTGGTTTCACAGTCATTATTTTAAGAAGTTGGCATTGTTCTTGGTCTTTTGTTGAAAGACATGTAGATTCTGCCCTCCAGGAAGAAGTTGACATGCATGCATTCATTCAACGAACATTTGTTGGTATCTCCTTTGCACCAGATGCTGCACACACAGAAGTTAAAGTCAGTTCCCTCAGGACTCTCAGGGTCTAGAGAAAGGAGTTGCCAGGTAAATAGACAGTGACTTTGCAAGTGCTGGAGTGGGGCAGGCCCATGGAGTCAAACTGGAAGGGCACCAAATCCAGACAGTGGCTACTGACGGGGGGCAAGTGTCAGAGAAGTCTTCAAGAAGGGGTGAGATCTGAGCTGAGTTTTTTTTTTCTTTTTCTGAGCTGAGTTTAGAAGGAAGAATAATAGCTGGCCAACCAAAGAATGTGGGGAAGAATGTCTGTAAAAAGGCACAGCAATGGAAGAAGGTGTGACACATTCAGGAAACTTCCAGACTTAAATATACTGGGCTTTGTTTTTATCCTGGAGGTCACAGAGTGCCACTGAAAACTGCCATCAAGACAGTGGTTTGAGTAGGATACAGAGGGCTGGGGTGCTGGTAGGGGTGAGGCTGGGGGAGGTGGGAGGGACAATGGCCTCCATTGGAATTCAGACCTGCAGACAGGTCAGGAAATGGAGAAGAGGGGTCTTCACAGGCTATTTGCAGGAGAAGACCAAGAGCCTTCTGGAAAAAAGACTGATTCTAAGTGGGGAGAAGCAGTCCTGCAGACAAGCCTAGCCCAGCCACAAAGCTGAGCTCATTCCTCTAAGGGATTGTGGGGAGATTTCTGGATATAGCTTAATGGTGTGTGTGGGATTTGGATCTGTCTACATTTTGGCCCTTCATGAATTCTTCTCTTTTCTTTTCTTCTGTCTTTGCTACGCGAATCAGAACCTTTATGGATGCTTGTCTGACTTCTGGGCTAGGAGTGTCGATGTGAAAGGGTGGAAAGCTCGGTAGGTGCTCGTACTGCGGGTGGAGAAAGATTTCTCACATAGAGTTTAAGATATATGGAAGTAAAAGTTTATTTGAGAGAGAGATATGGAGGGAGAGAGAGAGATTGAGAGAGAGAGACGGAGGAAAGGATAAGGCACGGCACTGAAGAAAAGGTAGAGGGTAGTGCTGGTGGTCAAGGAACAGCGGCTTGGTGTTTAAAAAAGGTAAAAATGGCTTTCCTCCCCCTATGCTTCAGCAGACTGATAACAGAAGCGGTAGTCAAGCTGTTGCAGGTGTTCTTTATTTTTTCTTTTCTTTGTGAGGCTGGCTTATCTGAGTCCTTGGACTCTGGTCCTGGGAGGAATGAGGCAAAGAGTTCACACCATTACTGTCTGCTTAGGTAGCTCTTCAAGGCTGAGGAAACCATACTTTTAGAGAGGAGTTAGGCCACAGGTGTTTTAACTAAACAAAACAAAGGGGGTAGTTGTGTTGTGAATTTCCTCTTCAAAGAGGCAATTAGGTACTGAGTTTATTTCCCTTTCTGTTTGATAGTTTATTTTCCTCTGTTAGATAGGTTATTAGTAAGGCCACCTTTCATGATGGTAGGGCTTTGAGTAAAAAATAATGATTGCTAACAATTTTCAAACACTTATGTCAGAAATTTATATCTTTTAGCTCATTTGATTCTCAATACAGCCCTATGTCAAGGTTACTACTATGATTATCCTAATTTTATAGTTGGAAAAACCAACCAAGCAACTCATCCTACCTTGTAAGCTCTCCTACCTTACTCACATTGGGACTGGCACATACCAGGTCATTTTAAAAATCAACTAAATTAGGGAGCTATTTAAAAATACCTATGTGGCATAAGCATTTAATTTCATTTTGAGATAATTGTAAACTTTTATGTAGTTATAAGAAACAACACAGAAAGATCCCATATACTGTCCTCCAATGGTAACATCTTGCAACCCTGTTTTGCAGAATGCCTACTGTGTGCCAGGTACTGCTCCAGGCACTGGAGACACTGATATGGGAAACATGAGGTGACAGGGCCATGAGAGTGACTGAGATCCCAGGGAGAGGTTGTCTGGAGTCAGAAGGAAGGAGGGTGGCCAACAGGAGTCCCAGCATTGGAGGGGCAGGAAGAAAAGCCCTAAGGAGACCTTGAAGGTAGGAAGAAGGGGAGAGGGTGGTGTCATGGAAACTAAGGTGGATAATAGTAACAAGAAGGAAGAGTGTCCAGTGCTGCAGAGGTCACCTGAGAGGAGGGTTGGGAAGGACGTCACAGGAGAGCAGGCAGGTAGCCCAGCACAGAGGGAGGGAAGGAAGGTCTACAGTGCTGAGGAGTGAGTTGGGTGAGGAAGCGGAGGCAGACAGCACTGTGTAGCAAGTCTTCCTACTAGGGAAGGAGAAAGGGAGTAAAGTAAGGTTAAAGGAGAAATTTTCCATGAATTTCGTCTCTGGGATGAGGGGGAAGAATCAGCGAGAGTAAAGATTTCAGGGCCCTTAGGACAGAGTGAAGCCCCAAGGAAGTGGGAGGAGCTGGAATTTGGAGCACAGCTGAGTGCTGGCGGGAGGGGCGGGCGCCTGCTTCTCTGAAAGGAGATACTTTCAGAAAGCGATGCAGATAAAGCTCTGGCTGTTAGGAGAGGGAAGTGATTTCTTCCAGCTGGGGCAATGCGGGAAGGCGTGCAGACATTTGAGGGCAAGGGCATTTGAAGTTAACAACGAAGGGGTTCAGTTGGCTGAAGTTAAGAGGCACCGGAAGGAGAGTAGCAGGGGATGAAGGCAGTAGATGCAGACTAATGGTTGGGGGCACTGGGGTCAGGTGACACATGTGGTTCAAATGCCAGCTCCTGCTTATTAGCTGTGACATCGCAGAAGTTCCATAAGATGTCTCAGATTCCTCATCTGTAAGATGGCGACAACCTAATCGGGTTGTTGGAGAAGGTAATGCCTACAGAGAGCTTAGTCCGGTGCCCAGCGCCTCGGTACACAGCGCTGATATTATTAATGCAAAGCCATCGGATGCGTGCTTCAGCAGAGATTAACTGGGCCACACGGAGTGGAACCAACAGGGACAGGCCTGCACAGGGCCTTGTACACAGCAGCCACTCAGGAAACAGCGCGTTCTTTGCTGGGCATCTGCATACAGGATACGGTTTCCGCCTTTCCTGGGCTCACAGTCGCCAGGGCGTGACGGTGAGCCCCCTAAGCGCCGAAACTGGGAGGAAGGAGGATGCGGCATACATTCTTCAGCTTAGTCTCTCCCCGACTGTTCCCTGCTGGATTCTTTTAGGGCGAGGCGGGCGGCGAGGTGCCCGGTGGCCAGACGCGTGCTCGCAGGGCTCCGCGAAGGGCCCTGGGCAGGGACAGCGCTATCTCAGGCCAGGACTAAGCAGCCGAAGGCGCGCAGGCGCAGTGCTGACGAGTGAGCTCACC